GGTATTCTAGCATTCTGCTGGCTATCTTGTACTACGTGAAGGAGGTCAGTCCCGGCCAGGTCAGGACTTGTATCTAAGTCTTCCACTGCGCTATAAAGCACCATTCGTGTATGTATCGGAATGCACACTGCTGGTTGAGATTCTACTTGCACTGCATTGTCCATTCAGTCCTTTTTATCACATTGCGGATCCTCGGTTATATACGTACATAGCCAAACTGGGCATGTAACACCCACCTTCACTTAGGGCGGGCACGACACTTTCAGACATTGTCGAGGGACTAAATCCTCGCACTTACCTTTCGTAGATGTAATCTTGCAGTCTCTTCTTTGGCCAGATTCTGCTCTCCCTTCCTTGCTGTGTCTGTGTCCCTGTCTCTCTCCCTCTGTCTGTCTATCTGTTTCTCTCTCCCTCAGTGTCTGTCTTCCTCTCTCTCTTGTCTGTTGTCGTAATCGTGCCCATGGAGTTCCCGTTCATCTTCCCTCTTTTATCTGCTGTTGTAATCATATCCTGCTGTTGTAATCATATCCATGGAGTGCTTCCGCATCTGGGATGAGGATTGGGTGCATGATCCTGTTGTCAGATGGATGTATCTGCTACCTGCATCGATAAGAGAGTGCGTGAACAGCCAGCTCAGGTTTTGAAATACCAAAATTAGGCAAGTCAGAATGCACCAGGATGTGCAGATGCTGACATTCATAATCTGCACCTGGACGTGAAGATGACCAGCTGCCTCTTGTTCTCTCTGTCCTTTGGATGACCTCCATATCTCTTACTTGTTTGCGGAATGCCTATGGCATCTTTGGATGGCCTTCTGCGTTAGATTTTGCCAGAGTGTGCCAGATTGCTCGCCAATCACTTAGCGGTAGTCTGTTATGCAACATGTCACCGATCTTCTCCAGAGTCGAAGAGGCAGAAGTTTGAGAAAGCCTATGGGTAGCAGGATGCATAAATGATGATGTGAAAAAAACATGAATTCTGGAATTAAAAGTTGTTGCTGCTCTGCTTAGCTCATTTGTGTACGGTTTCTGTAGAAGTACAGAGAGGTCCTTTTTTTTTTTTTTTTTTTTTTTTTTTTTTTTTTTTTTTTTTTTAAAAGAAACAGGCCCTTATGGACCTGGTTCCATTTCCATTCTGGGGAGCTTCAGTCCGGTTCCTATTCCACCGGCAAGTCAAAATAACAGGATACATCATAAGTACTCACCCACGCTTCCTTCCGTCCGACCGAAGGACCCCTGACCAGCATTGATTGCTCCAACATTGTGGAGGATTGACTGTCAGCTTGCCCTGCTTCATCCTTTCCTCTCAGGTCTACTGCAAAAACCTGTCGTATAAAACATGACCTAGCGAGAAAGGTTCTAGAAGCTGCCAAAGCTGCCAATTTTGTCTAAACTGTAAATCCCCCATGTGAGTCACATGAAAACTCTGCTATTCTGAACCCTGTTGCCCAAATTCTGTCCAAACCCTAAACCCTAAACCCTCAACTATAGTTTTTGGTATCTGGAACACCTGTCTTCTCCCCTCTGTCTCCGAATTTTGCCTCTCTCCTTAAACCTTAAACCCCTTCTATTGATTGCCTTTCAACCCCCCTTCTCCATTTAAATACAAGGTTAGCTCCTTGCATGGTTGCAACCGCTCCTTGCTCCAGGACCTTGGTATTGAATTTCTTCCTAATTTCCTCCTCCTGCTCCGGATTTTGCTGAATTTGGGCCCTGACCCTCTTCCGTTGTGCATGTAAGTCTGTTTCAAGTAATGTCAAGAATATCTCCCTTGCCTCCTGTATGTGCATTGTACTTCCGTCAATAGTAATTTGACATCTCCTCTTCCAAATAGTCCACAGGCTATATTGACGTATCAACTGGAACATAAGCTTCTCGAACGACTGCCAGTGCCTCGGGATTCGGCTCCCCAACAAAAGGGAAATTTTAGTACCTAGCACCTTCGGCCTCATCCCAAATGATGACTGCTCCCGTACATTCCACCAGACAATGCTGCATTGATTCTAACACGCCGCCCTGACACACTCTGCACACCGCGTTCGCTGGGTCTCTCCTTGTCCGACTCCTTTTCTCATTTAACCATTCATTTACCGGCAGAGCCACATGGGCTATTAGCCACTGCATGCTTCTGACTTTTCCCAAGTGGATCGCATTAATCGCAGACCAAGGAAACTTAGACAGTTGTCCCGGTGGAATCCCCACCCTCTGTTCCCACCTCTTCAATAGTTGAGGCGTGAGAGAAAAGGATCTTC